GCTTGCAAATTAGTGAATGACTTACGAGGTGCGCACATTGATCGTTGGCTGGATCGTTGCACTGGCGCCTTCTCCGTCACGACGCCTCAGTCAAACAAATGAATGTCGAACATGCTCGAAGTGGCTCGTGGAGAGTGACAGCTTCGACATGATGAAGAAGCGCTGAACGCGTGACACCATCGAGTGATGCGTCTGACCAAAGATTCGACGTGTCGCGATTGATGCTAAGGTGGCATGCATGTCCGTGGTTTGATTGTGTAAGTGGGGCTTACACGGCTTCCGCTTGGGTGTTGGCTGCATCTCGAACCATCTGCCAAGCTAGATATGGTGGCTAGCAGTCAGCGCTCACTATGGTGGCAATTGTGAACAAGCTCTGTTTGCGACTACTGCGTGTATGTACGGCTGGCTACGGCTACATGGGCCAAAGCCTGTACATAGTAGCAAATTTGGACGTCGCACTGACTTCTGTCTGTACCGTCGTCACAGCTTTTGCACGATGCGCGAGTTTGCGCGGCCGTAATCACGTGTTTGACGATAGATGCAGGATGAATGGAAACACGAAACACCTCGTTCGACTCATCCACAGTCACCATTGTCTTGAAGCAGCACTTACATAGACAGCAGGGGATAAATAGTAAAGACATCATCCTGTGACGTAAGCTTTGGAGGTCGGGCTCCACCAGGTCGATTCCTGTTCGAGCTCGAGTCCACTCAAGGTCGGGTCCGCCTCGCTATCAGTCGAGCTGTGGGAATGCTACGCCGGATGTCGTAGCCCAAACGTGTTGCATGGTATAGGAGTGAGAACTGTCACGACGGTGTGCAACCTGCCGCTTCGTTTGGAGCAATAATGACGTGATGTCATGTGAAGCTCTGGAGACGATTTGTCGAGCTCAAACGATGCGAGCTCTGATTTCTGCCGACTACTGGGTGACACACCGTCACGTGACACACTGTCACATGGCAGCTAAGCTTTGAGCATGTTCGTCATTCTTGAAACAGTGGTAACGAAGCGAGTGCAGCGTAGCGGAGATGGCTGTTGTATGCGCTCATTGTGAAGAAGAATATCCGCAAGTGCGAGTAGTGTGAAGAGCCCTTGTCTTGAGTGTATCCGTAGCCATCCCTCGCACAATCATCGAATATCCTGACGGTCGGTCATGAGGGTCTTCCCTCGTACGGTCATTGGTTGCCCACACTTCACGCTTGTCGATAGGTAGGCCTCGCTAATTCCTTGGGGCACTCGTTCTACAAAAGCTTGCTTAGTAGCTGCGTGTTAGTTCTGGCTTGGACAGTGTGTCACAGTATGCGGAGAATCGGACCCCATGCTCAGCAGATACTGTCGCATCGTTTGAGCTCGACAAATCGTCTCCAGCTTAGACTTCACATAACATCACGTGATTTTGCTCCAGACGAAGCGGCAGGTTGCACACCGTCGTGACAGTCCTCACTCCTGTACCATGCAACACGTTTGGACTACGACATCCGGCGCAGCATTCCCACAACTCGACTGATAGCGAGGCGGACCCGACCTTGAGCGGACTCGAGCTCGAACAGGAATCGACCTGGTGGAGCTCGACCTCCAAAGCTTTCGTCACAGGATGATGTATTTACTATTTATCCCCTGCTGTCAATGTAAGCGCTGCTTCAAGACAATGGTGACTGTGGATGAGTCAAACGAGGTGTTTCGTATTTCCATTCATCCTGCATCTATCGTCAAACACGTGATTACGGCCGCGCAAACTCGCGCATCGTGCAAAAGCTGTGACGACGGTACAGACAGAAGTCAGTGCGACGTCCAAATTTGCTACTATGTACAGGCTTTGGCCCATGTAGCCGTACATACACGCAGTAGTCGCAAACAGAGCTTGTGCACAATTGCCACCATAGTGAGCGCTGACTCCTAGCTACCATATCTAGCTTGGTGGTGGGTTCAAGATGCAGCCAGCACCCAAACGGAAGCCGTGTAATAAGACTCACTTACACAATCGAACCACACTCGTGCACACCGCCTTTGCATCAATCACGACACATCAAATCTTCAGTCAGACACATCACTCGATGGTGTCACGCGTTCAGCGCTTCTTCATCATGTCGAAGCTGTCACTCTTCACGAGCCACTTCAAGCATGTTCGACATTCATTTGTTTGACTGAGGCGTCGTGACGGAGAAGGCGCCAGTGCAACGATCCAGCCAACGATCAATGTGCGCACCTCGTAAGTCATTCACTAATTTGCAAGCAGCGAACTAGTCTTCCACCACTCACGTCTCGATCGACTTCAATTCTCGCATGAAATCTGCCACTACATTCGCGACCATCGTAGCGCTGAGTCTGTGCGTTGTCTCCAAGAGTGTACCGAATACATCTGCACTCCGCGGAGTATGTGTCGACGCGGACACTCCAACAGTCCAAGAAGAAGTCGATGAAAGTAGGAAAGATCGACGCCACCACCATCACCACGTCAAGAAAGTCAAGAAAATCGCCATTCCCGTGCCTGTGGAAGTACCGCACTTCATTCCAGTTCCTGTCAGTGTCCCGTCCACGGTAGTCGCTAGCTCTGATACTACTGCTGTTGTTGGCACCTCCACCAACGTCGCGTCGACCAATGTCGCTTCGACCAACGTCGCTGCAACAGGTGCTGCTACTGGTGCCATTGGGTCAGCGGGTGCAGGAGCTGCCACGTCAACAGGACCAGGAGCTGTCACGCCAGCCCCAACGACTGCAAATGCAAGCCCAGCCGCAACTCCTGCAGCGACCATGACCTCGCAATCGAGAGCTACCCCGGCACCAACGAGATCTGCCAGCAGCGTGGGTATTCCGTCTGTATCACAACAACCACGAGGTGTCGCTCAGCCTCGTGGCGCAGGTGTGACCGGGGACTTGTCGTCGAGGCCAACAGTTGGAAGTCCAAGCAACGCGTTGGGAGGTGGACTCGGTGCCCCGTCTACTACTGCTGCTGGTGGCGGTGCTGGTGGGTTCCCTGCAAACTCTGGCAGTCTTGGTGAAGTTCCCACGAGCAACCGGGGCGGCAATTTCGGCGGTGCCAGTGGGATGGGTGGTTTCGGTGGCGGCATGTTCGGCGGAGTTGGCGGACAAACCTTCAGTGGGAATGGCATGGGGGACAACTTCAGTCAGCGAATGGGTTTCGGGCAACGAAACGGCTTCGGGCAGCAACTTGGTATCGGCGCTCAAGGTGGGAACGCGGTTGGTAGGATACCCGGACAAGGCGCGATGACGAACTTCGGGCAGGTCGGCAACAACGGCTTGTCTCGCCACAATTTGCCAGGCTTTGCAGGTGCGGCACCGGGCGGTGGCAATGCGATTGGTGGCAGACGGTTGAGTCGTCGTGACGTCCAGCGTCGTCGTTGACGAGCGAAAGATACGAAGAAGCAGAGTCGGTTGCTGCCACTCTCTCAGTTGTGCTGGGCACGTCAGACGCAGCAGCACACTGTTCTTGTTCATCGTCCAAGCACGCAGCAGTAAGTGCACCATGTCGAAAAGGTTCCATTGCAGAAACATAGCAGAAATACATGTAAAAATGAATGGGAAGAGAAGAAGTTGAGCACTCACTCACTGACGGTCAACAGACTTCGTTGTGGGTATTCACATCTCGGTCTCGAAACGATTTGCACATCCCAAGAGGCACAGTGCAGAGGAGGAGGATCGGATCCGCATTCTGTGTCCACTTGTCTGCGAGCGAAAACGTTGGCATCACTTAGATAGAACGAGTGCGCCAAGGAATTAGCGAGGCCTACCTATCGACAAGCATGAAGTATGGGCAACCAATGACCGTACGAGGGAAGACCCTCATGACCCTCAGGATAATCGGTGATTGTGCGAGGGACGGCTACGGATACACTCAAGACAAGGGCACTTCACACTACTCGCACTTGCGGACATTCTTCTTCACGATGACCGCATACAACAGCCATCTCCGCTACGCTGTACTCGCCTCGTTACCACTGTTTCAAGAATGACGAACATGCTCAAAGCTTAGCTGCCATGTGACAGTGTGTCACGTGACGGTGTGTCACCCAGTAGTCGGCAGAAATCAGAGCTCGCATCGTTTGAGCTCGACAAATCGTCTCCAGAGCTTCACATGACATCACGTCATTCTTGCTCCAAACGAAGAGGCAGGTTGCACACCGTCGTGACAGTCCTCACTCCTGTACCATGCAACACATTTGGGCTACGACATCCGGCGCAGCATTCCCACAACTCGACTGATAGCGAGGCGGACCCGACCTTGAGCGGACTCGAGCTCGAACAGGAATCGACCTGGTGGAGCTCGACCTCCAAAGCTTTCGTCACAGGATGTTGTCTTTACTATTTACCCCCCCCCGCAGTCTTGTAAGCGCTGCTTCAAGACGGTGGTGACTGTGGATGAGTCGAAGGAGGTGTTTCGCATTTCCATTCATCCTGCATCTATCGTCAAACGTGTAATTACGGCCGCGCAAACTAGCGCATCGTGCAAAAGCTGTGACGACGGCACAGACAGAAGTCAGTGCGACGTCCAAATTTGCTACTATGTACAGGCTTTGGCCCATGTAGCCGTACATACACGCAGTAGTCGCAAACAGAGCTTGTTCACACATACCACCATAGTGAGCGCTGACTACTAGCTACCATATCTAGCTTGGTGGTGGGTTCAAGATGCAGCCAGCACCCAAACGGAAGCCGTGTAATCAGACTCACTTACACAATCGAACCACACTCGTGCACACCGCCTTTGCATCAATCACGACACGTCAAATCTTCAGTCAGACACATCACTCGATGGTGTCACGCGTTCAGCGCTTCTTCATCATGTCGAAGCTGTCACTCTCCACGAGCCACTTCGAGCATGTTCGACATTCATTTGTTTGACTGAGGCGTCGTGACGGAGAAGGCGCCAGTGCAACGATCCAGCCAACGATCAATGTTCGCACCTCGTAAGTCATTCACTAATTTGCAAGCAGCGAGCCAGTTTTCCACCGCTCACGTCTCGATCGACTTCAATTCTCGCATGAAATCTGCCACTACATTCGCGACCATCGTAGCGCTGAGTCTGTGCGTTGTCTCTGAGAGCGTACCGAATACACCTGAACTTCGCAGACGACTTGCCGATGCGGACACTCCGACAGTCCAAGAAGAAGCCGATGAAAGTAGGAAAGATCGACGCCACCATCATCACCACGTCAAGAAAGTCAAGAAAATCGCCATTCCCGTGCCTGTGGAAGTACCGCAATTCATTCCAGTTCCTGTCAGTGTCCCGTCCACGGTAGTCGCTAGCTCTGATACTACTGCTGTTGTTGGCACCTCCACCAACGTCGCGTCGACCAAGTCGCTTCGACCAACGTTGCTGCAACAGGTGCTGCTACTGGTGCCATTGGGTCAGCGGGTGCAGGAGCTGCCACGTCAACAGGACCAGGAGCTGTCACGCCAGCCCCAACGACTGCTAATGCAAGCCCAGCCGCAACTCCTGCAGCGACCATGACCTCGCAATCGAGAGCTACCCCGGCACCAACGAGATCTGCCAGCAGCGTGGGTATTCCGTCTGTATCACAACAACCACGAGGTGTCGCTCAGCCTCGTGGCGCAGGTGTGACCGGGGACTTGTCATCGAGGCCAACGGTTGGAAGTCCAAGCAACGCGTTGGGAGGTGGACTCGGTGCCCCGTCTACTACTGCTGCTGCTAGTGGTGCTGGTGGGTTCCCTGCAAACTCTGGCAGTCTTGGTGAAGTTCCCACGAGCAACCGGGGCGGCAATTTCGGCGGTGCCAGTGGGATGGGTGGTTTCGGTGGCGGCATGTTCGGCGGAGTTGGCGGACAAACCTTCAGTGGGAATGGCATGGGGGACAACTTCAGTCAGCGAATGGGTTTCGGGCAACGAAACGGCTTCGGGCAGCAACTTGGTATCGGCGCTCAAGGTGGGAACACGGTTGGTAGGATACCGGGACAAGGCGCGATGACGAACTTCGGACAGGTCGGCAACAACGGCTTGTCTCGCCACAATTTGCCAGGCTTTGCAGGTGCGGCACCGGGCGGTGGCAACGCGATTGGTGGCAGACGGTTGAGTCGTCGTGACGTCCAGCGTCGTCGCTGACGAGCGAAAGATACGAAGAAGCAGAGTCGGTTGCTGCCACTCTCTCAGTTGTGCTGGGCACGTCAGACGCAGCAGTACACTGTTCTTGTTCGTCGTCCGAGCACGCAGCAGTAAGTGCACCATGTCGAAAAGGTTCCATTGCAGAAAAATAGCAGAAATACATGTAAAAATGAATGGGAAGAGAAGAGGTTGAGTACTCACTCACTGACGGTCAACAGACTTCGTTGTGGGTATTCACATCTCGGTCTCGAAACGATTTGCACATCCCAAGAGGCACAGTGGAGGAGGAGGATCGGATCCGCATTCTGAGTCCACTTGTCTGCGAGCGAAAACGTTGGCTTCACTTAGATAGAACGAGTGCGCCAAGGAATCAGCGAGGCCTACCTATCGACAAGTATGAAGTATGGGCAACCAATGACCGTACGAGGGAAGACCCTCATGATCCTCAGGATAATCAATGATTTTGCGAGTGACAGGTACGGATGCACTCAAGACAAGGGCACTTCGCACTACTCGCACTTGCGGACACTCTTCTTCACGATGAGCGCATACAACAGCCATCTCCGCTACGCTGTACTCGCCTCGTTACCACTGTTTCAAGAATGACGAACATGCTCAAAGCTTAGCTGCCATGTGACAGTGTGTCACCCAGTAGTCGGCAGAAATCGGAGCTCGCATCGTTTGAGCTCGACAAATCGTCTCCAGAGCTTCGCATGACATCACGTCATTCCTGCTCCAAACGAAGGGGCAGGTTGCACACCGTCGTGACAGTCCTCACTCCTGTACCATGCAACACATTTGGGCTACTACATCCGGTGTAGCATTCCCACAACTCGACTGATAGCGAGCGGACCCGACCTTGAGCGGACTCGAGCTCGAACAGGAATCGACCTGGTGGAGCTCGACCTCCAAAGCTTTCGTCACAGGATGTTGTCTTTACTATTTACACCCCCCCCGCAGTCTTGTAAGCGCTGCTTCGAGACGGTGGTGATCGTGGATGAGTCGAAGGAGGTGTTTCGCATTTCCATTCATCCTGCATCTATCGTCAAACGTGTAATTTACGGCCGCGCAAACTAGCGCATCGTGCAAAAGCTGTGACGACGGCACAGACAGAAGTCAGTGCGACGTCCAAATTTGCTACTATGTACAGGCTTTGGCCCATGTAGCCGTACATACACGCAGTAGTCGCAAACAGAGCTTGTTCACACATACCACCATAGTACGTTGACTACTAGCTACCATATCTAGCTTGGTGGTGGGTTCGAGATGCAGCCGACACCCAAACGGAAGCCGTGTAATAAGACTCACTTACACAATCGAACCACACTCGTGCACACCGCCTTTGCATCAATCACGACACGTCAAATCTTCAGTCAGACACATCACTCGATGGTGTCACGCGTTCAGCGCTTCTTCATCATGTCGAAGCTGTCACTCTCCACGAGCCACTTCGAGCATGTTCGACATTCATTTGTTTGACTGAGGCGTCGTGACGGAGAAGGCGCCAGTGCAACGATCCAGCCAACGATCAATGTTTGCACCTCGTAAGTCATTCACTAATTTGCAAGCAGCGAGCCAGTCTTCCACCGCTCACGTCTCGATCGACTTCAATTCTCGCATGAAATCTGCCACTACATTCGCGACCATCGTAGCGCTGAGTCTGTGCGTTGTCTCCGAGAGCGTACCGAATACACCTGAACTTCGCAGACGACTTGCCGATGCGGACACTCCGACAGTCCAAGAAGATACCGATGAAAGCAGGAAGGACCACCACCATCACCATGTTAAGAAAGTCAAGAAAATCGCGATTCCTGTCCCTGTAGAGGTACCGCAGATCATTCCTGTTCCCGTCAGTATCCCGTCCACGGTAGTCGCTAGCTCTGATACTGCTGCTGTTGTTGGCACCTCCACCAACGTCGCGTCGACCAATGTCGCTTCGACCAACGTTGCTGCAACAGGTGCTGCTACTGGTGCCATTGGGTCAGCGGGTGCAGGAGCTGCCACGTCAACAGGACCAGGAGCTGTCACGCCAGCCCCAACGACTGCAAATGCAAGCCCAGCCGCAACTCCTGCAGCGACCATGACCTCGCAATCGAGAGCTACCCCGGCACCAACGAGATCTGCCAGCAGCGTGGGTATTCCGTCTGTATCACAACAACCACGAGGTGTCGCTCAGCCTCGTGGCGCAGGTGTGACCGGGGACTTGTCGTCGAGGCCAACGGTTGGAAGTCCAAGCAACGCGTTGGGAGGTGGACTCGGTGCCCCGTCTACTACTGCTGCTGGTGGTGGTGCTGGTGGGTTCCCTGCAAACTCTGGCAGTCTTGGTGAAGTTCCCACGAGCAACCGGGGCGGCAATTTCGGCGGTGCCAGTGGGATGGGTGGTTTCGGTGGCGGCATGTTCGGCGGAGTTGGCGGACAAACCTTCAGTGGGAATGGCATGGGGGACAACTTCAGTCAGCGAATGGGTTTCGGGCAGCAAAACGGCTTCGGGCAGCAACTTGGTATCGGCGCTCAAGGTGGGAACACGGTTGGTAGGATACCCGGACAAGGCGCGATGACGAACTTCGGGCAGGTCGGCAACAACGGCTTGTCTCGCCACAATTTGCCAGGCTTTGCAGGTGCGGCACCGGGCGGTGGCAATGCGATTGGTGGCAGACGGTTGAGTCGTCGTGACGTCCAGCGTCGTCGCTGACGAGCGAAAGATACGAAGAAGCAGAGTCGGTTGCTGCCACTCTCTCAGTTGTGCTGGGCACGTCAGACGCAGCAGTACACTGTTCTTGTTCATCGTCCGAGCACGAAGCAGTAAGTGCACCATGTCGAAAAGGTTCCATTGCAGAAACATAGCAGAAATACATGTAAAAATGAATGGGAAGAGAAGAGGTTGAGCACTCACTCACTGACGGTCAACAGACTTCGTTGTGGGTATTCACATCTCGGTCTCGAAACGATTTGCACATCCCAAGAGGCACAGTGCAGAGGAGGAGGATCGGATCCGCATTCTGTGTCCACTTGTCTGCGAGCGAAAACGTTGGCTTCACTTAGATAGAACGAGTGCGCCAAGGAATCAGCGAGGCCTACCTATCGACAAGCATGAAGTATGGGCAACCAATGACCGTACGAGGGAAGACCCTCATGACCCTCAGGATAATCGGTGATTGTGCGAGGGACGGGTACGGATACACTCAAGACAAGGGCACTTCACACTACTCGCACTTGCGGACATTCTTCTTCACGATGAGCGCATACAACAGCCATCTCCGCTTCGCTGTACTCGCCTCGTTACCACTGTTTCAAGAATGACGAACATGCTCAAAGCTTAGCTGCCATGTGACAGTGTGTCACGTGACGGTGTGTCACCCAGTAGTCGGCAGAAATCAGAGCTCGCATCGTTTGAGCTCGACAAATCGTCTCCAGAGCTTCACATGACATCACGTCATTCTTGCTCCAAACGAAGCGGCAGGTTGCACACCGTCGTGACAGTCCTCACTCCTGTACCATGCAACACATTTGGGCTACGACATCCGGCGCAGCATTCCCACAACTCGACTGATAGCGGGGCGGACCCGACCTTGAGCGGACTCGTGCTCGAACAGGAATCGACCTGGTGGAGCTCGACCTCCAAAGCTTTCGTCACAGAATGTTGTCTTTACTATTTACACCCCCGCAGTCTTGTAAGCGCTGCTTCGAGACGGTGGTGACTGTGGATGAGTCGAACGAGGCGTTTCGTATTTCCATTCATCCTGAATCTATCGTCAAACGTGTAATTACGGCCGCGCAAACTAGCGCATCATGCAAAAGCTGTGACGACGGCACAGATAGAAGTCAGTGCGACGTCCAAATTTGCTACTATGTACACGCTTTGGCCCATGTAGCCGTACATACACGCAGTAGTCGCAAACAGAGATTGTGCACAATTGCCACCATAGTGAGCGCTGACTGCTAGCTACCAAATCTAGCTTGGTAGATGGGTTCGACATGCAGCCAACACCCAAACGGAAGCCGTGTAATCAGACTCACTTACACAATCGAACCACACTCGTGCACACCGCCTTTGCATCAATCACGACACATCAAATCTTCAGTCAGACACATCACTCGATGGTGTCACGCGTTCAGCGCTTCTTCATCATGTCGAAGCTGTCACTCTCCACGAGCCACTTCGAGCATGTTCGACATTCATTTGTTTGACTGAGATGTCGTGACGGAGAAGACGCCAGTGCAACGATCCAACCAACGATCAATGTTTGCACCTCGTAAGTCATTCACTAATTTGCAAGCAGCGAGCCAGTTTTCCACCGCTCACGTCTCGATCGACTTCAATTCTCGCATGAAATCTGCCACTACATTCGCGACCATCGTAGCGCTGAGTCTGTGCGTTGTCTCTGAAAGCGTACCGAATACACCTGAACTTCGCAGACGACTTGCCGATGCGGACACTCCGACAGTCCAAGAAGAAGCCGATGAAAGTAGGAAAGATCGACGCCACCACCATCACCACGTCAAGAAAGTCAAGAAAATCGCCATTCCCGTGCCTGTGGAAGTACCGCACTTCATTCCAGTTCCTGTCAGTGTCCCGTCCACGGTAGTCGCTAGCTCTGATACTACTGCTGTTGTTGGCACCTCCACCAACGTCGCGTCGACCAATGTCGCTTCGACCAACGTTGCTGCAACAGGTGCTGCTACTGGTGCCATTGGGTCAGCGGGTGCAGGAGCTGCCACGTCAACAGGACCAGGAGCTGTCACGCCAGCCCCAACGACTGCTAATGCAAGCCCAGCCGCAACTCCTGCAGCGACCATGACCTCGCAATCGAGAGCTACCCCGGCACCAACGAGATCTGCCAGCAGCGTGGGTATTCCGTCTGTATCACAACAACCACGAGGTGTCGCTCAGCCTCGTGGCGCAGGTGTGACCGGGGACTTGTCATCGAGGCCAACAGTTGGAAGTCCAAGCAACGCGTTGGGAGGTGGACTCGGTGCCCCGTCTACTACTGTTGCTGGTG